TTTTTATTTTTTTTGGTACCTAGGCTCGAACTGAGGCCCTTGCATTTGCAAGGCAGGTGGTGGAACCACTGAGCTAAATCCCTGGCCCTGAAACCATAACATTAAAAAGACCCAGAAGACATACAAGCTTAAATATCTCATGGTTTCTCTTATAAGAAAAACAGAATATAAAGTGCAAAATGAAAGACAATAGAAAAAAGAAAAAAATTTACTATAATCCAGGATGGCCAATGTATCTAAAAGTATACCTTGATTTAGTATAATTGTCTCATGTGTTTTTTATGTTTTTTGGTCTGCTAGTATGGCTATTAGTCTGTTTTTATGATAATCAACTTGATAAATTTGATAATTAAATCTGATGCTGGCAAAAAAGAAAAAAAATTAACAGGAGTGGAGGGCAGGGAAAATAAAAGAATTGAGATGTGTTATGTACATGTACACATTCCTACAATGAATGTAATCACTATGTACTGCGGACATGTACTAATAAGAAAATTTTAAAAATAAAATTTACACGTGAAAACAAGAAAAATAAAAGAAGCCTTGATCTATTGGGAAAGCATTCTATATATTTATAAATTCTTCATTGGTTATTCCCGTGTGCCAAATCTGATTCTATTCCTTGTTTTAACTGATTCTCATATAAGCAGCTTGTTTCCTCATACACGTGTGGACTCGTTCCTAGCGGGCTACCTAGGATGATCTGATGACCGGGGTTAAGATACATTTCTCTGCAAAGAATTTCTGCTGGCTTCTGCAAGGCTCTTGTGGTCCCTCTCATTTGGCGACGGCTTTAATTTTCTACTTGGACTTCTCCAAGCAGCTTAGGTAGTTTGAATTGTTCCAAACAGTTTGAGGATCAGATTCCTGGCTTCCCCTGTGCCACCACCCACTCCTGCTCTCCCACTCTAAGCCAGTCTGAGTAGGTAGGATTTTTCAGGCGAGCACCTTTTGAGTTCTAGGCCTTCTGGGCTTTGATCAAAAGTTTCCGTCCCACAAAGACTCAGATACTTGACTTCTGCTCAGAAGCCAACAAGCTACAAGGGACTGATGGGTGTCCTGTGAATACCTGTCAGCTCCAGTACTCCTAATTCTCTGGATTTGTTTTCTTTTTTTGCCTCTCGGGAATCCCCTTTCTTGCTAGCCCAGCTATGTAGAGATGCAAATCGAAACTACCCAAGTTTGTAACCAAAGGCTCTTAGAATATTTGGTTTGCCACATTTTCAGAAATAAAAATATCCTCAAAAGCAAACACCTTTCCTCTCTCCCAGTGAAATCTGCTTATATCATGACGCAAAAGAAAAAAGGGCTTTGGAGGTTGAAGTGCGTATTGGAGATTACTGTGACAAAGGTTGTTAATCAAAGAAGAAAAAGCTGTAGCCTAGAAGAGAAATGGCTCGCTTGGCTTCTTACTCAGTAGTAGTTGAGACCAGACTCCCCCATCTTTCTTTAAAACAAGACAGTTTACTCTAAATGATTTAAAGAAATTGAATTATATTCAATTCTCTAAACTCAAAGAGCAGAAAACAAGGATACAGTTAAGAGGTTACTCAGCTATAAACATGACTTCTAGATAAGCTCTAAAATATCAAAAGTACTCGTCAGTTTGAGAACTGATGTGAAAACGTGAGTATTCAAAGCAAGCTCCAACAAACAAAAAACTAGCTTATTATATACAAAAAGTTTATTTTAGAAATCACATACTTTAAAAATAACATATAAGTTCTCATTCATATAGGACTATTATTCATCATTTGAATGCGAGGGAGTTACATGGTACAATCAATAAGGTAAGAATACCAAGTCTATATTCTTGGCATTTCACTAGCTCAAAACATTAATGGGACTTTTAAGAGGAAAAAAAAACCAAACTATTTTGGAAACTATCTTGTAAATGTTACATCTTGGAACTACAAAGCTACTGCTAGGACTAGTCTACAAACTGTGAAAAGTAGGCTTTTTTTGGAACAAAAGATGATCCAATGGAACCTGCATCAGGCTTACCGTGGTTACTAGAAAACTGTCAATCTGCTTTACAGTTTCATACTTTCAAAGCAACGGGGAAGGCAGAAGTGGGGTTTTGACTGTGGAACTGGTTATCTTTGCTCGTATTCGGCAGCTTTCTTTCAATCTCAAATAAGTGGTATCCACAGATGGCCAAGTTCAAATATGCATAGTAGAGGATTGGAATGCAGAATACAACCGTAAATATACACTCAGCATGGACCAAGAAATAAAGTTCTGTGGAAATGTGATAAAACCCTTTGAGTGCTTCAAATGGCTTTTCAGACCAAGTAGTTACAATGATGCAAGACGAGCAGAGATCTCCCTCAGCAATTACTTTTACTTTTACCTGTAGCATTTTATCAAATGAGCACAGATGAGTCTATTACTCCTACCTAGATCATGAAGTACTTGTCTTCTAGAATAAATATAAGACAGGAATACAGGGTTTTCTCACCTAGACAGCACTGAATCCAGAGAAATATTGTCTCCTTCTAAAGAATTTCAAGGAAAAGGAAACTTGTACCGGACGATTACCTGAATAAAGCTACTGGGAACGTAGCTCCATATGCATTTGTGATGAGAAGTTAGTCATGCTGGGAAGTTGGAAAGATTTAAAGAAACATAAAAACAAAGGCAACTGATGCTAATCTTCATGAAGGCAAGCAACATCGGAGAGCAACAGCAGGCTCCTACAATTTTGCTTAGATCGAACATATTCTTGATTATGTTTCCTGTCCAATAGAAATAATCTCGTCAGAAATACATTTACTCGGGAGAGCATTGGTGGGTGCTGAACAGATGCGGGCGGCATGGCGACAGACAGAGCTCCTACAAATCCTCAGGAAAAACTGGCCATTTTCACCAAGGTGAGAAACGCGGAGCACTAACGCGGCAGATCTGCGCTTTATCACCAGACTGATGGCATTTTGGGGTAGAGCTGAGTGATTCTCAGACATGGTTCAATATGGCATACAACTCCTGATTCTGAGTCACAGGCCTACTCATCTGCCAAAATTTTATCTGGCAAGTTAATGTACACAGGATGGAGCAAAACAAGCATCAGAGTTGACAAAAGAATCAAATGAAAGTTACTCATGACATTCACTTGAGATCTAGAAAGCACTTTAATATTTTATCTTTTTTCCAAATGATCAGAGATTCAAAAGAAATGGCAAGCCTTGCATTTTTAAAAACTGATAAAAATCACACTGTAATAATCAGTGAATGCAGAATGGCACAGATCTGTTTTCAACTTTTTCCACCATGATTCTACATCAAGGTAAAAAAAAAGACTTGTACAATCCAAGGGTGTAGACAGAAGTGGCAGCACAACTGTGCAACTGGAGACAGGACACAGGGAGGGGCAGAGTCCTCGAGACAGGAATCTATCAGCGAAGGCGGCTCAGTCGGTGGTTGATCTTCGGTACCAAAACCGCGCTCTGAAGTCATCACTGCACGTCATAAAGCCAGGGTTGGTGGGCGAGTGCACTATGCAGCGCACGATGTTGTTGTGCCCCAGGGAGAGGAGGTTTCTCCGCTCCGCTGTCCTCGAGTCCCAGCAGCAGAGGCTGATTGTCCTTTCGTCAGGAAGCAGCACATAGTCTTCCGTGTGGTTGAAGACGGCCTGCGTCCGGTGCACCTGTCGTCCACTCAGACCTGCACCTGCAAGAGAAGCCACGAGGCTAAGGGCCGGGGACAGAGGAGCTTTCCAAGCTCACACCTCAGACCAACAGAATGTTCTACTGTTGTTCCGAATCCTTTTAATGGAAAAGGTAGCATCACAAAACTGCTTCAGTGATCTACTCTGTACAACTGTTAACTCCGTAACTTGTCTATTTTCTACAATCATTTAAACCAACTTTGTGTTGGACACATTTTTACATGTGTCTTACAAGTGGCAAAATATCCTGTGTCTACAAGACCCATCCCTGTGTCTACAAGCACCATTACTCATTCAACAGTCCTTTTGATGCTATTTAGTTTGTCATCCATCACCTGTAAACAATGTGATCAACATCCTTTGTACGTACAGCTTATTTCTTCAGAATCAAATTCCTAAAACAAGAACTACTGGGATATATTTATGAACATCCACTTTCCAAAAGGAAGGCTTATCCTTTTATGACAATAAAATATATTATCTTGGGGCCGAGGATGTAGCTAGCTCAGTGGTGCCGTACCTGCCTGGCAAGCGTAAGCTCCTGAGTTCAATTCCCAGTATCGGGAAAAAAATATTTTTTTTCAATGAAGTACATAAAGTATAAAAAAGAAATTAAAACTGCCAGATAACTTCACCACCCAGGGATAACACTGATTATCTTGGAGGCTAGCCTTCTCAAACACCTGTGTATTTCATACTCATTTGGAAATAACAGAAATCAGAGTAATCCTATGCTATTTTCATCCAAAAGTACATGGTATAGATCTAGAAAAATACAACTTAATGAACTAAAAGCACTGTGTTCAGATGTGAATTCAACGTTTATTCATGATGTGATCTTGGGACAACTACTTAATACTCAGAAACCTTAATTTCCTCACTGTCTAGGAAGATCACTACAGTACCTAACCCAGAGAGTTGTGAGGAGCAAGATGAAGTCACCCACAGGAGTCTTTCAGTGCAAGCGCTCAGAAAAAACACCATTACCCTGAGTATTTACTTTTAAGGTTGCACGCTATCCACTCATGCACAATAGAACTGATGCTTCTTGGGGATTTTTATGGTGATTTTAACTTTCAACAACTCCAAATAATGGAGGGTGACACCCTTTTGTGCATGCACACGAACGATCGTTCCATTATCTGTTTAGGCTGAATTTTTAAGAGTGGACATATTGGGACAAAACCCACATATTTAAAATTTTGATGTATGACACCAAACTGCCCTCAGAAACATTTACCAACCGATCTTCCTACCAATCAAATGCTGACTTCTTCAACCTTATTAATACTAGCGAATATCAATCTTTTAAATTTCTGAAATCTGATGTACAAAAATAAGAAAGACACTCCCATTTTCAGCTTCTGGGTATACAGAAAAGATGGTCATCTCGTACTTAGTGGATATCTGAACTCCTGAGACTGGGTCTTACTAGGTGGCTAAACTGCCTATGCAACTTGCAACCCTGCCTCAACCTCTCAGAGTGCTGGGGTTACAGGTGTGCACCTCGACTTCCCTCCCCCTCCTAAGACAGGGCCTTAAACTATGTATAAGCCTTGAATTCACTAGGTAGCCCAGGTTGGTCTCAACTTTGTGATCCTCCTGTCTCTGTTTCAAGTGCTGGGATTACAGGCATTCGCTACCACACTGCTTAATAAGGTGTCTTCAGAGGTTAAAAATATTAAGCTGCTTGACAAACAAATACATACACATACAGAGTCTGCCAAGAAAACGAATACACGATTCAGGAAGAAAAACAGTACAGCGTTTTTTTTAAACAGATGGTGTTGCCCTCCTATAGCAGTCCCTAGAGGATGTCGTATATTGCAGAAAACCCACTATACCACCAGTTCTTAGACAAGAAATTCAAAAAAAAAAAAAACACGTGCAGCAACCTCAATGACCAAGGCTACTCCAGCAGCAGCTCCTCGCACTCACAAATGTCTGGCAGCCATGGCCGCCACTTTGGTAACTGCACAGCCCAAAAGTAACTTGTATTAACCTCACAATATCGCGGTAGATTTAACATTAACATATTTATACAAGTTCTGCGTTTCCTGAAGTGTGTATACATTTTTATGGTGGACTCTATATATACATATATGTACAATGTTTAGCATTTTAATTGTTCCTAGAGTTAATTTAGCATCAAATTTCCCTCCTATCTTTTTTTTTTGGTACCAGGGATTGAACTCAGGACCTTGTGCTTGCCAGGGAGGCCGGTGCCACTACATGGTGGCATGTAGTAGTGTTCCAAATGCCCTAACACGTTTGGCTTTTTCTGTGTTCAAAGTAGCACCTATTTTTTTTTTCAGTCGTGGATGTGACACTGGTGGCTCAAGCTAGCAGGATGATCAAATTCAAATCAGAGCCACTTGGCAACAAGATACACAAATTATAGCCCCATAATGAATATTAATCCAGGGCCTTGCACATGCTAGGCAAGTGTCTACTACTGAGCTACATTCCTTTCTAATGTTAGACAGGATCTTATAAGTTGCCCAGGCTGTCCTTGAAACTGGAGTCCTCCTGCTTCAGCCTCTTGAGTAGCCGAGACTACAGGTGTGAACCACTACATCTAACAGACTTCTAATGTTGTTTTCATGGTTTTTCCTTTTCCTTCATTATTCAAGAATACTTTCAATTCTACTAAAACTAAAGCAAATCTGAAAAGTTCTGACATGATGGGGCCTTATGAATTAGAAAAGAATTTGCATATAAATTCAATATACTTCCATTTCTGAAAACTCAAATTGCAATTCTCTAGTAAACAAGCCAAGTGCTACAAACCACACCAAAACATTCCAAATCCTTATAAAATACAGGTTCTGGTCAAGTGTGGAGTGCACTGTCCAGATACACCACATCCCAATAGACCCTCACTTGGGGAGGGGAACAACTTTCACATGTCCTCTGATCCCTTCATATCTTCTCTTTGTAACAATAACCCAGCTCTTTTAGAAATAATGAGACTTTTTTTTTGAGACAGGGTCTCACTATGTACCTGAGACTGACCTGGAACTCACTATGTAGCCCAGGCTGGTCAATGAAACATATTTTTAAAAACAGCTTCACCTAAGTGTTATCAACCTAATCACCAAGAATCAGGACAAAAATGGCTGTTCCAGAGATGTGCTGGTGCACTATATACACCAGAAGCCAGAAAGATGGCAGGGAAGCGAGGGCTGGTTAATGCTGCACCCTAGTGGTCCAAATGTCACCAGCCCTTCAGTTTTCTTTTCTAAGACGCTAACTTTCAGTAGTGTTTTTTTCTTGTGTATTTTCTGAGCTAGGCTCCTATCATTTTAGTGTAAGACACAAATACTTCTCACAAGAGCGGAAACCAGAGGAAATTCCCTGAAGGCTTTTTACCAAGTGCCCATCTCTGCTGCTACAGAAGAGTGAAACAAGACACTATTTTAACAAACCCTACCAACAACTAACCAGACTTGAACTCTGACTGTCAAAGATTGGATAAATTTATGTAGATTCATTATAGAAAGAGCTCACAGGCATACTTGTTATCAACAACGGACACCAACATGGACATGAAGTAAGAGTATTCTATGAGTTTTAATTTTTTCTGTCTGCTGAGCCCACTTGGTATCTACGGTATCTGCAGTTCCATTTGGGGGCCACCTCTGTTCTTATGAATGGGTCAGTATCTTCCCTCTCCGCCCTCCTATTTCTCTAGTGCACAGCATTTCTGAGATCCACTAACTGAGGCTTTTCCCTGGGCTGTGTTTATGTTTTTGTGGGAAGAAGGTGAGTGATCAGTCTCCAATGATCACCTGGCTCTCAACAGCTATCCTCACAAAATCCAGGCTTATTCTACGCCAGTGGTGATGAACCTAAGGCACGCGTGCTGCGGCAGGCCGTTAGAATCACTGAAAGCTCTAAAAGGTTCACCATCACTGCCCTACACTTTGTTGTACCAAGAAGAGCAAAGTTGAGAGAGCATTTTATTCCCAGCTCGACTTCTTACTAACTGCAGCCTTGGCAAAACAATTTAAAATCTAAGTTTTGGTTTTCCTTACCTAAAAGAGGGTTAACATCTCTCTTGCCCAAAGCATGTATTACTGTGTTGGTGTACTGCAAAGATCTAAGAGTTCTGGAATCATAAAATGCTACGGTATGGGGTAATAGTATCAACGTCTCACATACCTGTGTATCTGACCAGCGTTCGTCCTGTTGATATCTCCCAAAGTTTAGCTACGGAGTCTTTTCCACTTGACAGAATATATTTAGAATTTTTGGAAAAAATGGCAGAACAGACTTCAGCACCGTCATGTGCTTTCTCGAAAGTTGTGATGCATCGATTTGAAACACCATCCCATAATTTGATGCAGCCGTCCTTGCTACCAGTTACATACATGTTGGCACTGGGATTGTAATTAACAGAACATATAGCATCAGTGTGTTGGTCTTGAGGATTACAAGAGACGAAACACTGAAAGGTGTTGATATCATAAAGGCGCAGCGTAGGGTGCTGAGTGCCAACAAGTATAAAGTCTCCAGAAGGGTGAAAGGAGATGGAGCGTAACATTTCTGCTTCCTGGAATGACAGACATCAACAAGGAATCAGAGAAATGTGTAAGATATTTATTTTGCTGATGCAAAGAAACTTTAATATTAACCTGAAGATAAGCGTACCCTTTCCTCTCTCCCCTATCCTGGTTTTTTGGGACAGGTCTCACTATGAAGTATAAGCTGGCCTTGAACTTGTGATCCGCCTGCTTCAGCCTCCGGAGTGCTGGGATTACAGACGTGTACCACCAGGCTTAGCAAGAACAGCCTATTTCCTCCAGGCACGCAGATACTGAGTACTAAACGTTGAAGGGTGACCACTACTACTCAGGCATTAGTATTTCAGTAATGCATATTCAAACAGAATATCATATGTCACCATTCCAGTAACACCTGATAGTTTGAACAGAATGCTTTTGTCCATTCCCGTAACTTACACTTTTAGGAAAGGTGATAGCTTTGTTTTTAACAGGCACCTGCACTCTTTCAAGAGTGATGTGGACTTTGAATCTCTGTCCCAAGAGGAAGCAGGTATGTGACAGGATCTGGACTATGTGCGCCAAAGGAATCTAACTCACGTGCCACTGGGCACATTTCCAAGTGCTGGACTCCTGTTTCATAGGATGATCCCTGAACTTGCTTTTTAAAAAGTTACATAAAAGCTCACTATAATTAAGAAAAAATATACAGCGCTCTTCAAAACACTCCTAACCTGAATGTATTTGAAGGCTCTTTTTGCAGATGGTTTGGAATAATCAAACAATTTAAGAGTATAATCCCTTGAACCAGAGGCCAGAATCTGCTCTGTTGGGTGGAAAGCGAGACACGTGACTTCATCGACATGGTCATAAAGAGTTCGGATCACTGGATGGTTTTCCATGTTCTGCTGTGCGGTCTCATTCATCATGACCTAGACGAATAAGAAAAGCAGAGATGCTCAAGATACAGGAACTGCTTGGATCAAAGTTCGTGACTCACAACTACAGGAAACCAAACTCTTGCTCTCATAGCAATGAGCTACCAAAGTCAAACTGTGCTCCCGGGGCTCTTACCTCTATCGGCATGGCACTTTTGGCCAACATTCTTTCTGTGTCAAGGATCTTTATAGAAGCATCAGCAGAGCCCGTGGCTATCAACTGCCCATCTCTGCTGTATGTGGCGACGCGGCACGGTCCTTTATGGGATGTGACATAGCAGGTTTCATACTCAGAAGCCTCTGGGGACATGGTCTGGACATCTGCATCAAATTCCAAGTCAATCCCTGTGCCGGGGGCAACTGTATCTGAACGACCAATTGCATACTGAACTGCAGTGTCATCATTTTCCATCCCTGGAAGAAGGCAAAATTAAGAGCGTGAAAAAAATTGTCTTTTTAACAGCACAAAGTTCTGGAGCCAAACTGTGAAGATGTTGGCAAACAACTTACAATTTTTGGCACTGCGTGACACCTTATGTGACAAAATTATGTACCATGCCCACGCTCACAAGGTTCACAGGACTGCGAGGTGACCTGCATTAGTGCAGGATTAGGCTCCTGCAGCCAAAGTCATTTCCCTTCTTAACCTGAAAGTCTGCTACCTCACTTACAACAGAAACTCAGCAAAATAGCAGGTCTGCAGTTAAATCATGCATTTTTTCCTCTTCTGAATTTAAGGCTGAGATCTGGCAGTAGCAGCTCTAAAGGTCATTAGGAGAGCTACACTGCTAACATCGGTGAAATGTTTCTGAAGTGATAGTTAAATAAACTAAGTTTACCAAGAAAAAAAAATTCTTTTTTGAGACAGCATCTTGCTAGGTAGTTCAGGCTGGCCTTGAATTTTCTATGTAGCACAGGCTGGCGTTGAATTTGTGGTGATTCTCCTGCCTCTGCCTCCCAAGTGCTGGGACTATAGGTGTGTACCACCACAACCAGCAGAAATTGTCTTTTACATTTAAAAATAACCTCATACCATGTGACCAATACTGTACATTTAATAGAGGAAAAATCAGAACTACTTATGAACAGGAAAATAAAAATAACCTTGAATTTTACCACCCAGTGATAACTACCGTTAACACCATGGGGTGAATGATCTGGCCCTTTCCCTATGTATATAATTGTTTCACTTTTCAAAATAAAAACAGACTTGCACTATGTAACATGTTGTGACTTATTTATTCATTTAGTTACATAGGATAAAAATCTTTCTGGCTTAATAAACCTTGTAACAGTATTATTGTATTCAATTTCACAGGTGTTTAACAATTAATAGCTAATTCCGTTTTGTTCGGCATTTTAGTTTATCCATTCTATTTCCTCAGGATATATTTTCACAGTTGGCATTACCAAGTCAAGGGGAACAGGCATGTATGATAATTCAGTAGTAGGCTGACTATTCCAGATGATGCAAATAAACACACCGGACCAGCTTCGTCTTTATAATTTGGACCCCACTTACCCCTTCAGTGCCAGCACTGTATCTGGTGTATACTGGGTATGAACAGAAACAGCAGTAATCTTAAAAACACTCTGCTATGTGAAAGAAAACATCTAAAACTTCACTATGAGATCTGCAGTTTTACGTTCCTAAGATACCTAGTTTGATGAGATGCAGGAGCTGCTCTGAAGGTGCACAGACAGACTGAGGTTTGATTTCATTGATGAGGCCATTGGCAATGCTGATATAGCCATCATAGAGTAGCTGGCTAATGATCAGCTTGTAGAGCTGCTGTCGGTCCTTCAAGCCCACTTTAGTTCTGTACATCTTGGAGAGAGGATAGTTTCCCTGCCAGCTGCAAGAAAAGAAAACAGGTTGATGGTGAAGGGCAGAGGCAGCAGTAAACAGAAGCACAGGACTGGTCAGACTTAATATTGTAGGATGACCTCAGTCACAGTGGGTTAGTGACTTCATTTTTCTCTGTGTAGCTTGCTTAGCTGTTAAATGAATTACTGAAGGTAAAGCAAACTGATGCAAGTATAGCCACTGAGCACAGTCCTTAGAATATAGATACTATTCCAGTAATGCTAACTGATACTCACAGTATAATCTCTCATCAACTTTTCTTCTCTGCCCGACTACCTACATGTGGATTTTTAGTCTTTATTGCTATTTCAGATCTTCCATTTTTTTGTTAATTTCTCACTGACCAGTGTTTGCAATGGGCAAGATAGACGCTATTTTGTTGAAAGTCTGACTACTGCTTCTACCAGATGAGTGGTGTGTTTACCAATGGCTACTATGTTCCCTCTTAAAACCTGCTTTAAGGCAATTACATTTATTATTATAATCATATACTGTATAGTAAATCAATATATAAAAGAAGCAATTATGGGCAACAAAGGCTATTGCAATATGAAAATTAACCCAAGTTGGAGCACATGTCTGTGATCTCAGCATTCTGGGATGCTGAGGCAGGATAGCAAATTGGAGCCCAGCCTGAGCAAGTTGGCAAGAATCCGTCTCAAAATAAAAAGATAACACCAGGCAGGAACGTAACTCAGTGCGGACCCTGGGTTCAGCCCTCAGTACCCAAAAGAAAATTGCATAATAAAAGATTGCTAAATAAGTTACGGACATGACTATAAAAGTGGAAAGAAATGTAAAAATCTGGACAGACTGTGCACTCAGATGGTTTTTACAAGTGTTCATGTTCTTCAACATTTGAAAGGGAAACAAAACTGCAGAGAGTGCTTTCTGGTTTATGCAAAAAAGCACTTCAAGTGGTGAACACGACTAACAAATATCAATAGCTAGATGTATGCATACATTTGGACATGTCAGAAAGCTGCGTGGTCCCTGGGGACAGCAACAAAGAGTAAAAGTGACCTCAGGGCCTGAATTCTTACATACTATGCCATACCCAGGGGTGTCAGTGACAGCAGACAATTTCTTTTTTGGTACCGGTGACTGAACTCACCCACAATGCGCTACATCTTCACCCCTTTTTAATGAGACAGTCTTGATAAAGTCATAAATTGACCTGACTGGGCTTGAATTTGGAATTCTCCTACCTCATCCTCCTAGACAGCTGGAATCACAGGCATGCACCCTCAGACCCAGCTAACATATGTATTAAGCACTTCCTACTTGCTAAAAGCTGGGCTAAGTATTTCGTAAGGATTAGTTCATTAAACAAGAGCATTTAATGTATTCAGGTATGTGTAGAAACAAGTGTATGTGAATAAAATACTGGGACACAAAATGAGCACTGCGGCAGGCTGGGGCAGGAGAGCTGACAGAAAGTTCGAGGTGCATCTGGGCACCTTGTCACCCTGTCTCCAAAAATAAATAGGATTGGGGATGTAGCTCAGTGAGAAGGCTCGGTCTCCGGTCCATATAAAAAAAAAAAAAAAAAAAAAAA